GTACCTGCTTGTGCCATCTTGTTTTGTATGGTATGTGCTCAATTTTATCTGTGGCTCGAAAAAATAAATCCTTTCTACCTGTGCCTTGCACCATATTATGCTCTTAAATAAATTGTGTTTTTCCTATCGTGCAACTATTCGACTCCGCCTCACCTAGGCCTCTTGATATTGATGATGATTGTTGTCGTTGCGTGAACTTGCCAGTGGGGTTGTTCGGTGGTCAGACGTTGGCATGTGCAGACCCCTCCTTGTTTGAACAGGTACTAATAAATGTGCCCGTGCGTTGCAACGGGCAAACAAAAAAACTCAAAAAATATATAATGGCCAAATAAAACAATTCAAGTTCATCAAATTGTGCCAATCTGATGTAAATCCTGCAAATCAACTCAATAATTAAGAATAACTCATGCAAGAAAGAGAAACCTGAGCTTAAGAAAAAGAGGAACTTGCACACCATCCTGCTAGAATGTGCTTGAATGGACGCTCCTTCTGCACATGGTCCACAATCGTCTAGTGGAAAAATAAATCAAAAGGTCAATGTTTGTTTACCCACAGGGAGATCAATGTTTTGTTTTAATGTTCTACGGAGAGGTTGTGGCCCATGCCTCATGACAGGGAGATCAATGTTTGTTTTAATGTTCTACGAAGAGGTTGTGGCTCATGCCTCATGACATTTACAAGAGGAAAATTCAAATCATCTCTAAGTGCTAGCACTTAAAAGAAGGTACAGCCTTAGAGGTTCACTCTCAAGTAAAATACAAAATACGTAATCAGACCTGACAATACAACTCAATAGCCTCTATTGTGTAAGCTTGGTTCCCATCCCATGGCAAAGGTGGAGAAATTGCTGAGAACATGTTTGTTAGTTAAGGCCAACATGAAAGAAAACTAATTAAAATATCTGTGCGTTCCTTTTTTTCTGATGAAAGTACTCCCTCTGTAAAGAAATATAAATGCGTTCAGATCACTACTTTACAGAGAAAGTATGTAGCAAAAATGCACGTGTGTTGCAACTGGAGGAAAACAAATCACACGCCTTTAACCCAAGCTGTGATTTTAGGCATGAAATTATATTGTTGTTCATCATTTACAAAAACTGAAACATATAAGTATTCTGATGTTCTACAGATTGTTAATAAGTTGATGGTCATATTGAACAGCAAACTTGTGTGCCTTTACCTATAAAACATAAGCTATTTCAAATATGAAACTTGGAACGTAGCTTGACAAAAGTTGGAAGAGTCCAGTCAGGCTAGACATGGATTGGCATGGAGACTGAAAGACCAATCTCCAGTACAGGTGCGATAGCAAAGACCATGAGATTCTTATTTCTTTCCTTGAAATTACCAGTTCCGACTGTTTAATTATTTATTTACTATAAGCAAGTGAGTAGATATGCAAAATAAAGGGAGAACAACTCTATAATCTTACTATGAAATGACCAGTAATGTTTTCCGGATCACAAAATTCAGAAACATGACACTGAGTGGATGAATACCCTAAACACTGACAAATTTATGGCTATTTTATTGTGAACAGTTAGCTCTTTGAAGTGTAGTTCCTGATCAGTTTAGCAACTGAACATGGATTGAGCATATTTATTATCTTTTTAATCTGCTTTAGCTTACAATTTGTACTGAATATAGTTCATCAGAATTTAACACTACATGGGAAACTAAACTGAACGAGACCTTGTATGTAAAGCGTACCTGATGCCTTGAGCTTACTACATAAATGTAGAGACAAAAATATCAGGCATAAACTGGTTAAATTGCAAGACTTCTGACTGATATATATATTGAAGCCCTGTCGCCAGAATAATCTATCAACTTCTGTTCCACCTGGCTCAGATCGGCTTCAGTGTAGATCGCATTGTACTGGATAATCCCCACGAAATCAAATGAACCATGGACCCTTGCCTACTCCTTAGCTGTGAACACCGGCAGCTTGGAACATCAGGTACACATGTTTAAGGTGCAGATCCAACCTTGAATACACTTGTTTCATCATTTGGATTTTCTAAATAGAGGTAACAGTTTCACCAGAAAATTAGAACGTGTCTCAGTCCGTTGTACGCATGACATCAGACAGGTTCTGGGCGGAGGCTCATGAACAGTAGAACAAGTTCACCAAATATGGATTGATAGTGAAAACACTAAAGAAAGAATCGAAAGTGTTCCTTGGCCATTACAAATCCATGTACATGAGGGGGGGGGGCACTGCTAGCAGCTAGCTCATAGTTGTCGATGCTTCTTGCTGCTCCTGTTGTCCTGCCTCAATCACATGTGCATGTAACCAAAGAAGAATCGGAGAGATAAAATTAAGGGCAGAGAGCATGAGGACGATAAGAGAACATGCGTTGTTAAGCCACCATCGGCCCGAGCGCCATCAGCAGGCCGCACACATCAAGCTCTCCATCGCGCCACATCAATCTTCATCGGGAGGAATCTATGGTCTGCCTTGTACTGCAGGATAGCCAGAGACATTGATGAATTAATACACACGAGCCATGTTCGTCAACAAATTCAGTCCGTAGAACAACAAAACACCACTTATCCAAGCTAAAATAAATGGTTTGAGAAAAATAGAATCGATGTTGTGTACAGAAACTCTTAGCTGATCACACTGGAACTGTGTCTTTTACTTGGTTCTCAAAAAACAAAATAGTACCCTGAAACATTGGTACTCAAATTTAGGTGCACTGCTAGGAGTACAGAAACTAATCTAACTAATTTGAATATCAGACATTTTCATTTATATCAGATTTCAGAAAAGTTTTAAAAAGATTGCCTCTATCTTTATATATCCTTATAAGGAAATTAATAATCTTGCATTTTCAAGAATGGAAATGAGCAAGTGATCAGCTAAGACAACAATTGCGTACCAATCAATTAAAAAATACAACCTTTGTTCATTATAGCAATCATATATTATCAGACGGTGCCAGTTTAAAATACTTGTACCATCAAAGAAGACACACACCATCTGATATTTCCCAGAGCTCTGAAAGTAAAAAACCAACAAGTGCAAGAATTGGAACAGAGAAGAAGCTTACCCGGGCAAGCGGGCATGATGCCATTGGGGCTGGATGCGATGCTCGAGGCAGTAGAGCTCTCCCATTCTCTCTTGCCAAGCTCTACCTTCAATACCAGCCGCAGAGCAGCCGCCCGTGCTGCTTTCGAACTCTTCTTCCGTGCCACTGCAGGCGGACACTCTTTTTCAATCTCTCCCTCCGTTCTGCTGGTGCAGACCAGCCCGTCATGCCGCCCTGCCAAGCTCTCCCTCCGGCCCCTCATTGATGAAGTAACCTCCGCCCAAAAGAAATCAACACAACATTACCAATATGCATAAATGAAGCTACACCTAGAGCCATAAACTGACAACTATACAAAGGAGCAGCTGATTAACATATGGGCAATATTCTCTAATTCAGCACAGAAAGGACAATTGACTAACTGGCATATGAGCACTACAAAATCTCGCCATCCATTACCACTTTACCTATCAAATTGAGTAGCAATACTAATTTTAGCAGCAATAGGCAGTGTATATCAGGAGTTCAGGACCCATCAGCAGCATACATATATCAATGTTAGCAAATGAAGCGATCAGCCACAACATGTTTTCACCACAACACGGGCCAATAAGAATCTACCCAGCGCTGCCACAATATATGACTTGCAGATTAGAGAAGAGCCAATAAAAAATCTACCATCATGTTGGTACATGCGCTTGATTGATGAATGTTCTACCTATTAGTGCTAAGCAAGCATTGCACTAAAAAGGACCGTTGCATAGTGTCGGCAACTAAAACGACATCAGGGTTCCAGATGGGAGGCTGTGACCTGTGAGGTTGCCGATGTGATGGAGCAGATGACTTCGAAGAGCGGCAGCAACTGGATCATGACTTGGGCGAGGAATCCATGGTGGTCATTCTCGTCCACCACGACGGCTCTCCCCTTCGCTCGGCCATTGCATCGGCAACTCCCCAGCGCTTATCTACGGCGCCGGTCGCCTCCACCACCACAGCGCCCCTCCCCGCGCTCCCACCACACCGCCACACAGATCCAACTCCCCATCGCTGTCGCCCCTGTCAATCCCCATCGATCTCGCTCTGGAAAAAAATTGTGAGGGATGCAGCGGATCCTGTCGATCTTGTGTCCATTCGGGGGTCGGGGAGCGAGGACGGGCACCGCGGAGCAAGGGATGGAGGTGCGGCGGCGGAGGGACCGTCGTTCTCGCAGAGCAGGGGGTGGGGCGCAGCGGCGGAGGAACCCTCGTTCTCCTGTGGGCAGCAATTTTAACGACGGAGTCTGGGCTGCGTACGAAACGTTTTTTCACTTACGGTCAGACTGCGGGTTGATTACTAAAACCTTTAAGGGCTTTTTTGCAAAATTGCTGACGACGTACGGCCAGAAGCCATCGCTGGTTTATTAGTAGGTAAGAGGTAAGATAAGATATATAGCTCGATGATTGACTACAGGTATATATAGCCCCGAGAGGGGATGCGTCGAACAGACTGCTGATTGATTACAGGTATATATATAGCCCTGATCCCAGGGTAGTAATTCCCCCCTCTCCCACCACGGGGACACCCCCACGTGAGCTTGGAGATGAGAGGGAGGGGAGGGAATCCCGTTCAGAAAATTGTCAGAAAAGTATCAAATTTCTTAGAAAACATTATAATATTCAAAAGCCATGAAAAATAACACAATTTTTTATGAAAATATTATATTAGTTCAAAAGTAACTATCTTTTTTCTCTAATTTCATTGCAAACTTCAGGAATGACAAGGAAAAAACAGAAAAACATGAAACAAGTATAATCTGTAAAAAAAAACACTTCAATCCACATCAAACATGCTGACATAAGTTATACATGTTCAGTCGCACAAATAATGGCACTGCGAATAAATTTAGCGTGCTAATCATGGTTTAACAGAGGAAATGCTAACTAAGGTAGAAATCCAGCAAGAATAATCATTTAGTTCCATTATCAACATGTATCTGTGTAAATCATCCATGCCAAAATGTGTTGCTGCTGGGATAGTCACTACTGAAACTTTCAAGATCAACTTCTTTGAACATTTTCATTGGCTAGCTTTAGGAAACCTGCAAAGCAAAAAACAACAACGTAGTCACTATACATTGTAAATTTTAAACTATATATAAGCACATATATTTATTTATATCCATGTTCCCAATGAAATAGATGCAAACATAATAAGCACACACCTATTTGTGTTCTTATATGTATAATATTGTTCTCTTTAATTTCTAGATGACCACGGCATGAAAGCCATCATTTCACAAGAAACGAATGTTAGACTGAAACTAGTTTGAAAATAGCCTTCAGAGCTTTTCGATTGTATAAACACTATTCCAATTGTAATATTGTATGACGGGACTGAATGACAAGCTTGTCAGAGCTTTTCTCCTCGATATTGTATAATATTTAAAGGATTACTACTGACCAACTGCTTCGCTTTGTATAATCTCGTCGTGAAACTAAATTCACTAAATTTATCCAGAGCTGCAACTGAAAAACGGGCTCAGAGAAAGACATTGGTATACGATAATGAAAAATGAGCTACAACTGAAAAAAATTCCACCCCACGAGCGATCAGAGTGGACGCCAGAATCGCTCCTGGCGACTAACTACTCTAGCTAAACTCGCTAACAGATTGACTGAAGAAAGACTGAAACTGAAAACTAGACACTAGCTAAAAACGCTGCATGGCAGCAAAACACAAGCGCCTACCATGGCAGAGAAATATACTAGGTGCAGATTTGGGTTTATTCCAACATACGGCAAGTTCATGGCCGTCTCCATCGGCTGCGGGCTGAACCCGAAAGAGAGCTACAGCGCCAAGGACGCCGCCAAGTGGGGGATCCTGAACTGAATCGTCAAGGATGGCACTGCCCCCATCGTCGACATGTTCAATGTCGCCAGCGCCGACATGATGGACATAAGCAGCTAAAGCTGTAGAGATGCATTAACACAAAAACACAAGATAATTCCCAACGAAAAACTGACAAGAGCATGAACTCATTTGTATACACCCTCTGTTTTCTCCACAAGATATTCCTCTGCTTATGAGTTAACATGTGCAAATTCATGAACAAATTGAAAAATGCCCAATGGAAGAAAACACAAAACTGCACCTCTAAATTGGTACTCCCTCCGTTCCAAATTACTTGTCATAAAAATGGATGTATCTAGAACTAAAATACATCTAGATACATCCATATCTGCGAGAAGTAATTCGGAACGAAGGGAGTACTTCAAAATTACATACCTTATGTTTTCTCCTTGGTAGCAATTTTCTCCTTCAATCAGTAAAGGCCGTTTTCTAACAGTACATTAGTAATTGATGACTTAATAGCACTGCATCGATAATACTATCAATTGGCTTTGCTGCAATCACATCATAAGTCAAAATTCTTTACAAAAAGATAATATCAATTCAGAAGTCAAAATATATATAAGCACATATTCTTATTTATATGCATCTTTCACAAACAAACAGATCCAAACATAATAAGATGTTGTTCTCTCTTTGAATAATCCGCAGGAAAACTCAAAATCTTAATAGCACATGGTTTCATCTTTTAATTACTTTGCCACTAACATACTTTTTACAAATAAAGCTTGAAGTTAAGACAACAATAGATCAACTCAATGGCGTACGCAAAAAGTGTAAAATGGACAGAGATAATGGAGTGAATGTCCCCTTGGGTCCATAGAGTTTAAACCGAAGGCCAATTATCAAGATTACATATGCTCAAACCTTGGTTCCATATCTTGGTACAAAAGGGAAGAACTTGAATGAGAGTAATTTTAAACTAAACAGTTACCATGATACTAATGCTACTTTCATTAACGCAATTAAATTCCAATAACTGGTACGTTTATGCTACACCGTTATTATAGGCAAGACAAGCATACTTCAGGTTATCCTAAAGATTCTAAGTTAAAATTAGGACAAAGCTAGTACAGGCTGAGTAGTCCCCTTCAGAAATATACTAGAACATTGTGTGTAGATTAGCATTACAAGGAGGTAGATGTGATTGTGCTCACTTGTGAGGTCAGGATAGTCAGGTAGAAACACTACTGCAAACGATGGATGTTCTTCGGTATTGGTTCTTGTGATACAAAACTCAAACAGGAGAGGAGGCTCTTGGATCTGTACAAGCGCTCGTTAGTGCGTGTAGCAGGGAAGGAAAAAATGGTGGGTGGAAAAGGAGGAGTAGGGGATAACCTTGGACGAAGAGGAGCATGATCTCCTGGCCGTCGTCATCATCGGAAGGTGAAGATCTTGGGAGTGGAGACGAGATCTGGGAAGTAGTAGGATGGCGACCCCGGTCCCGTCGCCCCATCTGGAGGGGCAGAGCGTCGAAGGGAGGAGGGCAGGGGTGTCGCAGTCGCCGGACGGAGGAGGCAGGAGCGGTGGACGGAGGAGACTTGAGCGGTGGACGGAGGAGGTCTTCCAGTCGCCGCCGCCAGTCGTTCATGAGTGCGAGACAGAAGAAGCGAGGGTTTCCTCCCCGATGTCTCCACTCGTGGGAGCCTTTCCGGGGAAAGGCCGGGGAAAGGCCAGGGGTACCCCTTTCTCGTGGGCGTCCAAACGCGATCGTGAGAATTCCGGGGTTTATTCTGTCCGTGGTTTGTCGGCCCGGGGAAAAGGCAAGGATCCCAGGGGGATTCGCTGAAACCAAATGAGGCCTTAGCGGGACAATTTTCCCCATGACCAAGTTTTCTCTGTAGTGAGCGACGAACATGACGGAGATCCACTTCCATCTTCAACTGTCGGCGGTGAGCCCGTGGGATCTCCCTCCTTCCATCTGCCACTCCGGCGGCAGGGAGGTGTGGAGATCCCCGGTGCTTCGGCGTCAGCCTGTAGATAGTTTAAGAATAGTTTTGGTGGCGGCGCGGCTTCGATGGCGGCGGCAGCGTCGCTCCGACTAATATGTCAAAGTAAGACGAGATTGAATGAAAGTGAATGGACGATTAGTTCGGTTTTCTATTTATTCTCAAGTATATACATCTGGAAAATGTGGCATCCCCTCGAAGAGGTGCCTGTTGACAATAAAGAGAGGAGACATGACTATTCGGGGTTGGACACACCCCTTTGCTAATGACTATTCACTAATTAGCATGTGCTAATTAATCTACTAATTAATTTCTAACACTTCTTGTACATCCCCGCTTCTTGAATGTTTCATCATTGAGAACTTCTTGTACATAGATATTAAATCTTGATAAATCTTGCTCGTTAAGGCTCGGTTTGTTAAGCTCGAAAAGATTAACGAGCAAAAAAACCCTGCTCGGCTCATTCGTTTGAAGCTCTTTAAGCCCGTGAGCGCTCGTTAACAAATTTTCACGTAAGATGAAATATGTGTTGTGTTGTTACTAACAAACTTAGTGTGAAACTTGTTGGCTCATTTGTTAAGCTTCTTAAGAAATTGATGATTGACTTTGTTCATTAAGAAGTGACCCACGAGGATAACAAGCCGAACTATCGAGGGCTCATTAAGCTCGCGAGCTACGAGCTTTTGTTCCACCCCTAACGGTGTGCCAGGTCGCACTTTGTTACGTTCACGTCTGATACTAGACCCTCCATTAAGTGAACAACCACCGCCTCGTAAAATTTGTAAACAATCCCACGGCTCAAATTATTGGAAACGTGGGCTGCACCAACATGCATTATTATTTATATTTTCTATGTGGGAGTACAGTTAATCCTCAAAACAAAATGTGAGAGTACATTCTTTATGGAGTACTACTATTGCCAGCTCCTCCTCTGTCGTCCAAACTCCATGACAAGCAGCTCTATTACATTGTTTCATGGACATGCGGGACATCAAGCATCCGGGACCGCGTGCCATCCACCAAATCACAGCAAGGTGCTGTAGTCGAGACTCACCAGTCACCCCGGTGTGGCCGTCATGACCCATCATATCACAAAACCCACACCTTTACCAACAGTGGTAAAGTGGCCTCGAAGATGGACGGGACGAAGCAACCATCATTTTACTGGAACGCTCGTTGAAGCCCTTTCTCCCCTATCTTGAAGAAAACCTCACTCCAGGCTACTCACTTCTGTCATTTTTCTTCTGTACCGACGAAGGAAAGGTGGGAAAATCAGTGATGCTACTCTATTTTCATTCGAAGAATCTTCTTTTTCCGAAGCACCCACCGATTCTCACTGCTTACTCTTTTCCCGTTTTCATTGCGGTTGTGGTTTCTTTTTGATTGCTTTTTGTTTGTCAGTTTATTGATGGATCCTGGAGCATTAGGCAAAGAGTTGCCGGCGGACAACCCACTCGAGACAAAAATCTTCAGGAAGCGACACCGGCCAACGAGTTGGCGATGTTGGCGGGCCAACCCATGGAGATGAAGAAATCCAAGAAACAAGCACTGGCCAAAGAGTTGACGACGTTGGCGGATGAACTCCTGAGCAAAGAAAGCTGGAAGAATAGCAAGGCCGCCACCGTGCCTACCCCAAAAAATCTAATGGCCACCTATGAGAGGCCCGAGGCCAGGTTTGAGGAGATAGTCGCCGTTGAGAAGCAGTATTTCCCTGGCAAGACGATCACCCCATTCAAGGAGATGGCCTCGGGAGGGATGGGATCCCCTGGTGAGCTGCACAAGGTAAAAAATGGCTTACCATAGTTGTGGTTTTTGATTATTTGCAATGTGCTTACTAATATGTTAGGTTGTGCCAGTGCCGGTGGACATCACCCCAGTGATCGATTCCCATGCCGCTATCCGTCTTGTGGACATCGCCCCAAAAATTGATTCCCATGCCGTTGTCTGTCCTGTGGACATCGCCCCAGAGATCGATTCTCATGCCGCTGTCCATCCTGTGGACATTGCCCCATAGATCGATTCCCATGCCACTGTTCGTCCCGTGGACATTACCCAAGAGATCGATGACAAGAAATAGTTGGTCGCGCTAATTCTTCAACGTAGTTTGCATTGTGTTTAATTATCAGAACGATGCGTGTTATCAAACCATCTTAGGGCTAGTGCACTGTCTTGTGTGGGCGGTACTTGCTACTTTTGTTTGATAGTGCATCATGCTAACCCTCTCCGAGTTATGGAAACAGATGTATCCTCACTAGTTTTGATGTAATATATGACATGCTTAGATGTAAGTTTGAATTGTTTATCATATAAGTAGGGCTTGTTTGGTGATTCTTGGCGTCAAACCTCAACTAATTCCGCACTGTGTTAGCAGGCTAGCTAATGTGTGAGCTACTATAGTACTTGCAAATAATCACCGAAGAGAGACGATGGGGCTGATGAGCTCGTGGTACGCTTATAGGTATGGTCATTGAGCAGACAATAGTCCACAATTATACATAATTCACATCAAACTCAAAGAGTTGGTTCGCGGATACATTCACACTAACATCCAACATTAAGAACAAAATTGGCACGTACCTGTAACATGCATGAATTCATATTTTTTTCGCTAGAAGCGTGAATGTGTAGTTATGTCGTACTTTCGGAGTGGCTACAGAGAGTGTGTACATGTGCTAGAGAGGGGTTGGGGGGGTGGAGAGAGATCTAGAGACAGAGAGAAAGACCCTCCATTTCTTTCTAGTCGTCAACAAAATCATAGCAGTATAGAGACGTACATATCCTAGAACATTGGCGTTGGGCAGGCTAGTCTGGCCTAGTGGGTTTGAGTGATATGACGTGCTACAGTGGCGTCCAGTCTTCGCATATGGTAGCAGTATTGCTGGTACAGTAAGTTTTCTTGAAGAAGCGGATTCAACGAAGTCATGATGGTTCCTTCATCCGAGCAACTTACAGTGGGAAAGGTTGGGCCTGCGATTTGATGGCTCATTGGTCATTTATTACTGCGGCGCTACGACTGTGGTGAGTCTCCCC